TGAAAGACACGTGTGCACAACCAGACGGAGCCCACAAAAATAATTCTGAACGTTTAGGAGGTAAGCGTGGAAGAGTCGCTTGGGAGCACTCCTTGTAACCTCCTGAAAATGCCACCAAGGAATTTGGCACTAGAATTGGGCATTTGTATGAAGGTGATTTGGGAACACCCACAATCTCAGTTGGCTTAATTTATAAAAATGTAGCCAAACCCAAATGGCTGTGGGCAAACTGGCACCAAACCAATGTCCTTTTTATTTATTTACACCAGTCTCAAAATGGAGCACGTGTGCTTCTCTCAGATGTTTACCGTCTGCAGTTGTGGAATCGGATTTCTAGCCAATACATGCCTTGGTCTCTGCAGCAAAGCTGGCCTCAAGATAGAAACAGATATTTACCAGGCAAGTACTGAATCAGACATCATAAAAAATTCCTAGTCCAAATTGAGAGGTTGCAAGTCACAGCTAGATGTTGGCTAGGCTGTCCAGAAATTGCACTTAATTTCTAAATTATATTCTCTGCATATATTAGAAACATAAAATAAAAACCTAATTCAATATTTTTTTTTCTTTCTTACTATAAACAATCAAGAGCCAAAGAGTAGTGGATTAATGTGTCTTTAAAATAATTTCAGACTCTTTGGGGTTAGATATAATACGGAAAGTAATCCAATTGCTACTTAGGGATCTTGCGTCATTATCAATGACTTTGACACATATGAGAACATATGATATATCCTAGCCTGTGTACCCAAAATATGTTAAAAATAAAACACATTCACCATCGTGACAAGATTCAGGTTTTAGTTCTTAGTAATGAATCCTTATCCCCTACTTGTTTCCTATTCTAGGCATAGAAATGATAAATCAAGAATTGTGTTCTGTGTCCTATGACTTGCCTAACTGTCAAAGGCCTTCCTGAAGGTCCTGTACTATGTACAGAGATTCACAATGAGAATGATACCTTTTTGCAGTGTTTCCAAGGTTTTGTGGCCTGCATTTCCCTCCCCATCATCTTCCATAGTGCCCTAAAAAGCTCCTGGTATCTCTTACAAGGGCTTATTCACAATAGTGCAAACTTCCAATGACAGTAATTTATGCCTTAACCCACTTTTTGGCCATTTTTCCTGGCCACTTAGGCTAATTATCCAAGTCATCTGTGTACAATAAACAAGGGCTTTCTTCCCTCAGAGCTCATCCTCCACTTCATGCCACCCAGTGGGGTGGTCATAATGCTCCATGGGTAACCATCATAATTATCTCCATGGCAATAGAGTGCAGTGTTATTAGGCCCATAGGACTTGCCATAGATGCGGATGGTAGAGCCAGCAAGCCACAATATTCAGCTTTGAACAATCACCCATACTCAGAGGAAGGTCAGAACCCAACATAATGCATGTGATGAGTCATGCCAAACTGCACATAGAGCTGTAGGTAGGGATAGGAACATTTTCTCCAGTCAGATGGGTAATTTCTTTTCCCTAATGCTCCCACAACTTCCCCTAAAGCTCTCATAAGTGGAGTCCATTCCACATTTACACTATACATTTTAATCCACTTTTATAAAGGTTGGTTTAGACTTCCTTTTAATCAAATGCTACAGCTTTACCTCCTTACACCCCAATTTTTTTAATTTTTTTATTTTTTTTTTTTGCGGTACGCGGGCCTCTCACTGTTGTGGCCTCTCCCGTTGCGGAGCACAGGCTCTGGACGCGCAGGCTCAGCGGCCCGGCCACATATGATATATCCTAGCCTGTGTACCCAAAATATGTTAAAAATAAAACACATTCACCATCGTGACAAGATTCAGGTTTTAGTTCTTAGTAATGAATCCTTATCCCCTACTTGTTTCCTATTCTAGGCATAGAAATGATAAATCAAGAATTGTGTTCTGTGTCCTATGACTTGCCTAACTGTCAAAGGCCTTCCTGAAGGTCCTGTACTATGTACAGAGATTCACAATGAGAATGATACCTTTTTGCAGTGTTTCCAAGGTTTTGTGGCCTGCATTTCCCTCCCCATCATCTTCCATAGTGCCCTAAAAAGCTCCTGGTATCTCTTACAAGGGCTTATTCACAATAGTGCAAACTTCCAATGACAGTAATTTATGCCTTAACCCACTTTTTGGCCATTTTTCCTGGCCACTTAGGCTAATTATCCAAGTCATCTGTGTACAATAAACAAGGGCTTTCTTCCCTCAGAGCTCATCCTCCACTTCATGCCACCCAGTGGGGTGGTCATAATGCTCCATGGGTAACCATCATAATTATCTCCATGGCAATAGAGTGCAGTGTTATTAGGCCCATAGGACTTGCCATAGATGCGGATGGTAGAGCCAGCAAGCCACAATATTCAGCTTTGAACAATCACCCATACTCAGAGGAAGGTCAGAACCCAACATAATGCATGTGATGAGTCATGCCAAACTGCACATAGAGCTGTAGGTAGGGATAGGAACATTTTCTCCAGTCAGATGGGTAATTTCTTTTCCCTAATGCTCCCACAACTTCCCCTAAAGCTCTCATAAGTGGAGTCCATTCCACATTTACACTATACATTTTAATCCACTTTTATAAAGGTTGGTTTAGACTTCCTTTTAATCAAATGCTACAGCTTTACCTCCTTACACCCCAATTTTTTTAATTTTTTTATTTTTTTTTTTTGCGGTACGCGGGCCTCTCACTGTTGTGGCCTCTCCCGTTGCGGAGCACAGGCTCTGGACGCGCAGGCTCAGCGGCCATGGCTCACGGGCCTAGCCGCTCCGCGGCATGTGGGATCTTCCCGGACTGGGGCATGAACCCGTATCCTCTGCATCAGGAGGTGGACTCTCAACCACTGCGCCACCATGGAAGCCCAACCCCAATTTTTATACTCTATAGAACTGTGCCTCCGATACAGTAGCCATAGATGCACGTGGCTATTGAGTACCTTAAAGGTGTGGTCTGAATTGGGGTGTGCTACAAGTGCTACACTTGATTTTGAAGGCTCATATGAAAAAAATAAAATAAAATGTCTAACTAAAAATTTTATAATGATTATATGCTGAAATGATAATATTTTGGATATATTAGGTTAAGTTAAATAAAATGTAAAATTAAACTTAACTTTACCTGTTGCTTTGTATCTTTTTTTTAAATGCAGCTACCAGGAAATTTAAAATTACATATGTGACTCACATTCTATTTCTATCAGGCGACATTGCAATGGAGTTAAATGGATGATTCCTGTTGACTTTTAAATCTACAGAACTGATGGCATGATAAAAATATTTAACATGTGAGGAGAGCCTTATACTTTTGAATATGTGCTTTTATATTATGATTTTACTAGATGTGATTAATTATTCCAGGAAAACTGGAATTTCTGTCATTCCACAATCTCCTAAACTAATATACACAAATTAATTCTCAAACGGCGCATCAATTTCAGGACTTCCCTTAACACCCAAAAGAACTAAGAGCAGGCCAATAAGACAAAAACTTTTGAGTTGAATGAAATTGTGCATTTTCAGGAGAAGAAAGCAAAGTGGCTGCTTTAAAATGCTTGGTGATTCCCAACTTCCTGTCCCCCCTGTACACACACAACATATTTGGCTAACAAAATTTAAGAAATATTTCTGGCTAAAAGAAAACTGGAGAGGGTTATAGGGACAATTGGCCTTATTACTAGTGCAAACTGGTAACAAGAAACTGACCCTTAGGCAAAGGAAAATGACTTCCATACTATAAATAAGCCTGGGAAGCTGATTGGAAGCTTTTATTAAAATGTGCTTTATGATGGCAAGTGAAGGACTGAAGCTGGTTAAGAACAGGAGTGATAAATGAAGTCGAACAGTTAGAAGATGAATGAACAGGTTGGATGTGGTAAATTAATGCGGGATACAAGAAAACAGTATATTGCACAAAAAACCATGAGGCTCCATCAGACAAAAGAATACATAGGTCCTGGTGACTGATCAGATCATCCTCTTTGCCTTTCAAGTTAGACACGAGTCACCTTTTCAGCCTACCCAAGGAGTCTGGGGAAGGCTGAAAATGTGTCTGCTCTCCCCTGCTGGTTAAAGCTAGATAGTTTTTATTGTAAAGAGCTATTGGACTCAAATGACCTATAAAATTCAGTTAGTATCTCAAGAGACAGTGGATTATCTACAGAAAGAGGGTGAGCATGGTTTGTTGTGCTGCATGGGTGGGCATGCAATGCTATTAAATGTCCCACATTAGACAATGTTTGTAAATAATGATCCTACCACTTATTGAGTACCTACTATATATGTACCAGGCATTCTATATATAACTCTGACATATATATTACCTTCCAAGGTAAGTTTTATTGTCCCATTTTACAGATGAGGAAGATATCATTCAGAGAAGTTAAGTAACTTGTCAAAAGTCACACAGCCAACAGGAACTACTACCTGGACCTAAATCCAGGTCTTTCTAACATCAAAGCCCATGCTGTTCCACTACACCACACCAAGAAACTGCCAAATGATGCCTGACATCTAGTAAGTACTCAATAACTGTTACTTCCCTTCCTCCATCATGGCATTCTGACATCATTTTCCTACCTTCTGCTCAGTTTGCATTAAATAATGCAGTCACTGTTAGCAACATAAGAAATATTTTATTAATGGTGACACCCATATAAAAGTCTCTGATATTAATATATGTCTCTTAATATATGTATTAAGATATAAATAAAAGTCCCTGATACCCTTTCAGCCATGCTGGAAGCAAAGGCACAAGTCAGGAGAAGCCTGATGTCAATGCCAGGAAAGGTCCTCTATGGCAAGTATGAAAGACATCTGCCAACATACTGTACATTCCTGGAGCCTGTGCCACATGTCTTGACATACTCAGCCAGTGACAGGAGGACATCAGTGGTGATGCAATGTCAGATAGTGAATGGGATGAGAGGGGACTGGTAAACCAAGGAAGGAGGCACTGGCAGAGGCAGCAAAGAGGCTTGCGACAGAATGTAGCTTAAATAGAAAAAGGTTGTACCTTCACAGCCACGCTCAATCTGTCCGCTCCGATGGAGGGCATCGTTGATGAGGTCTGGCAGGCGTCCATTCAAGTCCACTGATGCCAGACAGCCCTGAAAGCCATCCCGGGAGGCCACGAGCTTTGGGAGGTTGCTGTACATGCCTTGGGCCAGACCTGCCATGTAGAGGTCACCTGGAAAGGAAAATAGGTAGTAAAAGCAAATGGGTAAATGGTATGGAAACCACGCCAACAAAAGCCAAGTCACATTAGACTGTTTACTAGATAATGGTAATATAGCTGGGGGGGAACAGCATAAACAAAATTATTACCAGAGTTTCTACATTGTAAAAAGAAGAAACTAACATTTCTTATGTGTCATTCATTTTATACACATCATCTCACAAATTTTAATCACTACATCCATTCTATGAGGTAGGTATTGTTCCCATTTTCTGATGATGTAAAGATTAACAACATTTTCAACAAAGCAACCACTTATTGAGTGCTTTTTATGTGCTTGTTACCAATAGTATGCTGAGGATATTATAGACATTATTCCATCAAAACTCCTAATAGCCCATAAAGGTAGTAACAATTATTATCCTCATTTTGCAAAAAAAAAAAAAAAAAAAAGTATATAGAAGCTGAACAAGGCTAAGAAATTTTACCAAAGTCACCCAGGTGGTAAATGACTCAGCTGAGTTTCCAAAACCTACATGCCTTCCTCTGTATTATGATCCCTCCACATTTTGACATTTGTCACCTCATCACTCAGCTCCCACATGCCCAAGGTTTACAGAGAAAACAAACCATCCCTAAGGAGTGGTAGAAGTAAAAACTAACAAACTGCATCATGTTATAATTCAATGTTGTTAAAATAGGATATGCATGTGTATCAAAAATGCATGGCACTCCTAAACTGTAGTTTACCTCCGGAAACAGCCTTTCAACTGTAAGCTCTAAAAAGGAGAAACTTCTTTACAAGGTTTACCTTTCAAATCCAGATTTTTGGCACCATTGATAACCTGAGTGACCACCTTAGTGTCCACTTTCAGGCTGTGGGTGTTACTGTTGTCCCGGGTGATGACGACGTTGTGCCACTGGTTGTCATTCAGGGGGCGGTCACTATTGCCTTTGATCACATTGGGGCCGTTTCCGAGGTCAAACACGTAGTGTATGTACCTAGGAGGAACCACAAGCACCCAATGACTTGAGATTCCCTGCAGTGGTTTAAAGGCAATGTGTACATAACTGGCATTGGGGGCTTCAAATCCCCCAAGCTAGACTGGCATCATGCAAGAATAACTAAAGCTTGATTTAAGAATATAAAAAGAATCGGTTCCTATTCTACCAGACTTCACTTGAGTTCTATACTCATTGAATCCATTTCTTTAACACTACCTAGTAAAAATCCAGAGACACAAAGCAGTACAGCTGGGTACACTCCAAAACATTAGGGGGTGACATCTAAATTCACAGTCAATCATGGATCTGTTTTTTGGGTTTTGTTCTATTTTTTGCTTCTGTTTTGACTACTTCCCAACACACAGTAGTAAAATATCTTGAAGCAAGAACAGCTTTTTAAAATTTGCATATGTGGGCTAATGGTAGTACTGAAAATATCTGTATTTCATTTCTTCCTATAAATTCGGTGGTTGCAGACTGTACTGCCCCAGAGATAGATGCAACACATACCCTATCCCTCTTTTGCAAAAATAAGCTTTTTTCCCATAGGTTTAAAGGACTACGTTTCAGATTAAGAAGCCTGACAGTACTGAGTCAGGAGAAGATCTTTAAACAAACTCATGAATCTCTCTCCCTTCCAGTCCTAATGATTACAAAGATATTTTTAATCAATGGGGATGAGAGCATGAATCAGGAATAGAGGGTAGAGAGTAGAATAGACAGTTTTTTCTGTGCATATTTTATCCAGGGTTTGAGCTAAGACATTTAGTATAAACTAGGCGATCTCTTCCGCTTACCCCTTGACGAGCTCAACAGCAATGAAGTCATTGCCATCACCGCTATTGAAGAGAATGAAGCCGTCAGCGGAGGTGGTCTTGAACTGGAAGAAGAGGTGCATGGAGGTGTAGGCCTGGAGGGTGGCCAGGCTCAGGTAGCTGCTCTTGGTCTTAAAAGTGACAGGGTCAGCGATGATGTTCCTCAGTCCAAAACGAGCCTTCAGTTCGCAGTAATCAATGTCTCCATTTTTGCACAAGTCAATGTAGAGCAGCCCATTGAACATGAGGCTCTGCAGGTGGCCAATGAAACTGGAGGGGACAACGGAGATGTAACGTTTCTCGGTCATGATACCAGTTTCAATGTTGTGGAATTCCAAGCGGGTATGGTCTCCCACCATTGTACCTGTGAAAATCATAGATGAGATACAAACAGGAGGAGTTACCACGTTTTGTCACAGCACCCTTACTACATCTTTTAGGTCTAATTTGTTTCCACACAAAACATTCAGTTCCAGAAAACAAAACACTCAATATAGTAGATATCTGACTTGGCTTCAGTCAGGGAGCTGATGACTGGCCCAGCCCAAGTTGAACGCCCTGCATCCCATGCCCTCCTACAGTTGCTCAGAATGTCCCATCATATAAAGGAAAATATGAGCTCACGGGCAACTCAAGTTAAAGGGTGAAACTGTTTGTTTTCTCCATTCAGGAAAATAATTGGGTACCAGTACATACAATAAGAAGGAAAACTTTTATTGCTCTAACCCTTATAAAGATAAAATAAGCGAGCCTTAGGCATTCATTATTAATATTTCTTGGTGTAATAATTCACCACCCAGTACTTGTGGCAAAGTTTCTATTGTAGAACATATTAATTTTACCTGACCAGCAACCGTTGCTTTTTCTGATAATAACAACTAATCTTCCTTTGGGAAGATACCCTCCCCACTTCACCCTTAAACCATCTGGGCTGGATGAAGACGACCCCATCCCGGCCCCTGAAGTAATCAATCTACCCAGGCAGAACCACTCAGTGTATTTTTATCTCTCTAGCCGTAGAGTATGGTCTGCGGACTAACAAAATGGTCTTCGAAACTTAGCATGCATCTGAATCACACAGTTCACTGAGCCCCACCCTTAGAGTTTATTATTCAAAAGTCTGCAGTGTAGCCTGAGAATCTGCATTTCTAACAAGTTTCAAGGTGATGCTTACATGACTGGTCTAGGGACCCCCCCCCCCTTAGAACACTGGATTAGCAGCAACCCTAGTTGGTCCAGTAATATTCCCCCAGGGTTTGTGCTGGAACACTTAGGAAAGAGACGTTCTTTGCAAACAAGGCTTTCTGAAGGGGTAAGAAGAAACCCAGGGCCGCTGGAGGCCACGTGATAACTGGAGGGCTAGGGCCTCCCTGGTGAGACAGCAGACCCAGCAGACAACCACAGAACGGAGAGGAACAGTTTCGGCAGGATGATGTCATTTGAAGACCTGGATCTAGTTGGCCAAACCTGGACTTTTTTTTTTTTTTTTTTTTTTT